CTCAGCTGTTCACAAAATTCCCTTATTTTACCTGGCTGTCTGGTTCATTTACAGATACCTGGGAACTTTTGCAGGGTTTCAAGTCTGCTGGCTGCTGCCCAGAACTGGATGCATGCCATTCTTAGGCTTTCAATTTCTTCATGATGCATGGAGGGATTATTATAATCTAAGATGATAAATTCACATAAGAATTTAAGAAAGGGAATAATACTGCTCTTTTCTTGGAAAAATAAGAGGATACACGAAAAGATGAGGATCTAGTGGCTCGCGTCATCAGAACTGGATCAGTCCAATGTGTTCACAGATTTGACTCTGTGTAAAATGTTTCACCCATGTGGATAAGGACAAATATCTTGGCAAAGTAAAGCTGGTTTATGAAAGTTTTCCTGGAAGGCAGCAAGGCAGCATTTATTACCAGAGGAGCAACGCTGCTTGATTTCTTTTCAGGTTAAAATCTTAAGAAGCTCATCATCTTCTTTGAGTGAGATCTCACTACGTTTTAAAATTCAGAACTGTTTTTTTAAAACAGGAAGAAATTTTAACTTAGACCATTGAAAAAGATTTCAGAAACTCTTTCTAGTTTAATTCATGCGTCATAAAAAATAAAATGTGGGTCTCATTAAGTCCTCCAATGATTTACAAAACTACACTTAAAATGGATTGTTGACATAGATTTTCCCACAGTAAAAATGATGGCGCATCTACAATAAAAACGCCTCACTGAGGTTTTGGTGTGACCAGTTTTATGTGAGTAGCAAATAAAAATTTAAACCTTCATGTTTGTGTTTTTAATCCAGCTGCCCATTTTGTGTTGACCTGCCTGTCAACACAAAATGATAAATGTTCAACAAATTTCTAGGCAAAATATTTGTTTTTTGATCAAAACCCCCCGAAATGTCATATATCAACTGGATCCTCTATGGATATGAACACTAAGTTAACAGCATCATGTGTGTCAGTGGGTTAAATTGATACAAACTAGCAGATCATACCTGCAACTTGGCCACCATTTTATATGCACAGGCTGTCATATTGAATATGGAGTTCAGGGTGGCTCATGTTCCTACAACTTTCCATGTCAAAATTCAGATAGGTGGGTTTTCTGATTAAGCTTAGTAGAAATGTATTTTTTTTGTGCTTTTTTTAATAGTCTGACTATCTGATTTTGACTTTAGCTTATTCCTTGCTTTACTTTTAAGAACTTTACCATCTACAAACTCATTAATTTAAGATATAGTGGACCCCCAGTATTCCTACGGGTTAGGGACCACAGCTGCCTAGTCAAAATGAATACTTGAATTGCTTTAAAAAGTCTCTGTTTTATTAGTTCAAGCAACAAATACATTTTAACATGCTTTCCCAAGCACTCTGGAAATCATAGCACTACTGCAGAAGTTAACATTGACAGTCCACCTCTGCCCTTAGGGGTACAGCCTAAGGGCAGTTAGGCTTTATTTGTAGTTGTGGCCAAGTTTAGAGCATCAAAATCAACACATACATGAGTTACTTCAATGACAATTTTTGTTGGTGTTCCCATTTTGAAGATTGCCTAAGGGAAATTGTCAGTCATACAATATTTATACGCTAGAAAAACAATAAATAAAGGAATCCATTGAGAAGTTCCTAGACACTTTCAACACCTATAAACCACAGTTTATTTATTTACTTATTGGTTGATGATACATATGATGCAGAAGTTTAAAACTTTGTATGTAAAGCCAACTATTTCACTCAAACTTAACTTTTCTTAATGTTTCAATATGAAATTGTGTTTCCAACACAACAGATACATTTATAAAAGTGCTTACACATTATAAAGATAATCATTGTTGAGCATACTGCATGTCCTTAGTCTTTTTCCAACTTTAAAAAGTTCAAAACAAAACGCACAGGAAGAGGGAATTTTAAGTTTTGTTTCAGTGAGGAAAATCCAATTTTTCAGTAGTTGACCATCTGAGCAATGATCAGAGATGATCAAGAAGAAAATTGCTAATAATAAAAAAACAGACTAAAATGGTACAGTCATGTAACTATAAAGGTTTTTTTTTTTTTATAAAAAAATTAATGCGTTTTTAGATAAGAATTTTAAAATATTCCGTAAGCCTGACTGAGTTTATCAGTCAGGCTTACAGTATCTATATATTTTACAGTATCTATATATTTCTTTGTCTAACTATTATGAATCTGGTGAATGAAAATTGAGGAAGGACCCAAAAGAGAAAACAGAAAAGGCAGGTCAAGGACAAATAGCACCACAGACACAAACCGACTGAAACATAAAACTATCATATGAAGGAACCAACCATGTATGCTGGCAATTTTGCCTCTTGTCCATTTTTCAGTTCTGAAAGGCCATGATTTTTCAGAGGACGTTTTGTACCAACCCTCCGTTAACATTTTAGGAGGACAGCATTTCACTCTAGTTTTGCTGACCAATCATTTGAAGTGATTTTCTATGCTCATCACCTTTTCTCATATTGGAGTATAAAGGTGACTTAAATTAATAATATCTACCGCCTGAAGGCCACAGAGTTATTTTGCCTTGATTAGGAGTCAAAATCAGTCATATTTTGTTAGATAGCTGAACATAAAGGGGACCGGGACCACCATCAGTATATAGCAAGCAATTTCAAACTTTTAGAAAATAATATACACATAAATGGTGAGATTTTAGCATTTTTATTGGTGTTTAAATCCATAATTCATCAAAATATGTACTCATACCACAACTAATAAACTGATGAAAAAATAGTTAAGAACTTGGAAAAAATTAAAATCTATCAGAAACTCTAAAGACACAACAGACTCCAACTTGCCCCCCCCCCAGCCCCAAAAAAGACTCAAAAGCAATGCACTATCACACGAGTGTGTTATTATGGCTAAATAAATATGTCAATTGACATAAGAAATACATATGAGTTAAATACTTATTGTAGCTTCAGAGTGTTAGATCTGGGCTGTTGCATCAAAGCGAAAACTGCATCACCACTCAGATGTACTTCGAATTCAATAACCACCATCTGACATCTGTGCTGGCCTTGGTTGTTTTTACCAAAGCTAGCTAGATAAAAGTATAGCATGAAATGCAACACTTAAATAATAAGGTATTAGTAGTGTTCTTTGTTTTTTGATGTTTTTACACCCAGGTCTGTAAGAATAGTGCCATATTTTCAAATAATTTCAAAACTCTTCCAAATTTTGCTTCTTCTAAGTAGCTCGTCAGTTCCTTATGACATCTATCCTGAAAGTGCAGACTTATTGACAGCTTAGTTCAAACCTTAGAAAGAACCGAAGAGTTTATCAAGAACATTTTGGTTTACCAGGTCTGAGAGAGGACCAATCATCCTGTGAATCCAGCTGTTTTTTTTTGTTTCCTTGCATTATAGGGTACTCTAGATTATATTTGTCTATTGTTGTACAAGATTTCCTTTTGTTTTTCCTGTGTTTTGTAGATATATATATCTGATTGACTAAGCCTTGAATCTTAAATTCAAATGTACAGAAATCTGTGCCTTCCTAAAAAGGCAATGTAGGTCACTTAGTAGCAAGTTGTGCAATAAATCCTTCAAATTAAATCGTTGATAGATTGTGAGACTAATTGATTTATACTGAAAGTGTCGTTGCTGCATCTTACACTTTTTCTCTAAACTTGAGTAAGAAATTGCAGACACCTTTATGCCATGTGAAACTGCAGACCAGCAAAACAGACAAACTTTCAGGGAAAAGCAGTGAAACAGCTGCATGTGTGCAATGACATATTACTGACATTGTTCTATTTGTCTAAACAAATGGCTACACTACAGGCAGTAAATGCCTACTGACGCACTTGTATTTTACTGCATGTTTCTCAAGCCAAAGAATGACCGGATGCCTGTGGATCCCCTCTCATTACCAGTCCTATCACAGGTCAGCTGTGACTGCCGTGTATTTAAGAATCCATATTGTGAAGTAGACACACCTCAAGCTCAAATAATATATAAGATTAGCCATATCATAAAATGACTGGACTGCAGAACTAAAGGAAGTTTCAATGAAAGTTTCAAGGCTCTAGTTCCAGCTTTCAGGTCACAACCTCTACAGAGAACAACCTATCCCTAATGAAAAATTAAAGAAAAATTTGAAATTGCACTACAGGACGAATTATAGTTTACAAACACCCCCAATACTAATAACTGGGATCTAATACAGTCATTCACACACTAAGCCACAACCACATAACATAATCCTGCATCCATGACAAATTAAGTCACACAAATTACAACATGTTTTTAGTGAATTCAAATTAGTATTACAAAATACAAAATACATGTCCAACTTTTTAAAATCTTACCCCACCTGCTAAAGGCTCCTCGCCTTTTAAATCCAGATAAAACAGGAGCAAATAGGATTTAGGTCCCTCTCATATTCCCACTTAAGTGTAGAAATTACTAAACCGCCGCGTGCCCATGGAGCCTGATCCGCACGAGCTGCAGATGAGTGACACCGAGAGGCATACACTGTGACAGAGCGTCTCGTGCCGCGAAGAGAGAGGGGGCACACCTGGACAGGGAGAATGTGGTCGGTGCTCCCATCTAGTGGCCTCAAAATATAATGAAGTAGAAGAATAGTACTCTATGTAAAAATATATTGAAGTAGTTCTACTGTTACTTGAGTACAAATTTTGGGTGCTCTACACTTTTGATCCTATATTCTTCTAGCATTGGATATTTTTAAAATACTGACGTTTTCACTGATTTTTTAAAAATACATAAAAATTCGGTACTACATTTTTCAAATGAAATTGTGATTGATAATGTTTCTTATATTTTCTATCATTACTTGTGACTCTGTAGTCTTTAATGTCATTGATATAAGTCCTTTCGAAGTTTGACCGACGTTTGTCTGCTCACGTTGTGCGAAATTTTGTTCCCTTGAGAAAATATGTCCCTCCCCGCTCCCTCTACCCCCGGTGTCGGGAGTGCGCACTGCAGCCAGAGAGGCTTCAGCTCCATTTCTCTGTAAAACAGTGCGCGCTCCCGATTCATTTTGACTCCTCGGACGTCGGTCAGGTGAACATTCATTGCTTGCTGGTTTCTACTAACTTGATACAGAAGTCGGTTCTGTTTAGTTAAAACTTCGTTATTATTACTAGCAGGCTGAATGCGGTCTAGCTGCAATTTCTTTTTTGAGGAACTTATTCAGTTTACACGTTAGAGATAAAAGCGCGTATGTCTCGGTCCAGAATGTCTAAACTACCAGGAAATGCAGGTGTCTCGTTGCTTGGTGACAAGACCTTGGACTTCTACCGGGATCCGGTGATCTTCTGCCGGCAGAGAATTGAAAAACACAGCAGCAGAGTGTTCCTATGCCGCTTAATAAACAAACCGACCGTCTTTATCTGCTCTGTCGAGGGGATGCGAGAGCTGCTCTGTGGTATGTTTTTTATAGGTGTTCCTCACAGGAAACGACAGTTTTTAGACACTGCTGTTTTCTCTTTTGTAGTCGAATAGTATGTTAGCCCTCTCTAGATAAAAACTGCAAATTATCCTAGGCTACACAACAAACAAAATTAATCGGTAACCTAAGACTTGGTGCTGGAGACCTAGCTGTGATCAAAATACGTTATACATAAAACAACGTATTAGAAGGATGCTTTCCCTGACCAAAAAAAAAAAAAAAAAAAAAAAACTAAATGTAGTTTAATAATTATTTTTTGTCTTGCAAAATGCATTTTTGAACTACAATTTGCCACATTTCTAATTGCTGATTTAATTGCAAATGTGACTGTGTTCCTTATAAAATAAATATTTTCAGTTCAACATAGGTTGCTTTGAATGTACAGTATTGTGAATTTGTACTCTTGAGGCTATATTTAAACAAACATGATACTGATATTTATATACCCATTATTATATTTGACTCCTATTACAATAAAGTGACTTAAAGTGACTTTCCTGGTTATCTGCTTTGTCTTTTGCACATCCCCAAACGCTGCCTTGAATATTCTAAGCTTCGTTGTTAAAGTTATATGGTTATGTGGTGTGTTTTAGAAAAGTCTAACATATTTCTGAAGGATCCAACTGATTTTATGACAAACATATATGGAGACACTGTTGTCACCATGAATGGTAAGCATGCAGATACAGTCCCTCATGTTGATGCCGTCCATGTACTTTGTACATGTGCTGAAATGAATCTCTGGTTGTGTTTATGTTTCAGGTGAGGAGGCCTGCCTCCTCCGTCTGTCTCTCAGCCACTTGTTTACAGGAACATGTCTGGAATCCTCAAGTAACTACATGTCCAGGTAAGAACAGTGTTGGCCTTTAATTGATCTGTTATGCACTCAGAAGTTTCAATTAAAATGACATATATTCTTTTTCTTCACAGTGTATGTGATCACTGCTTAAAGAACCTCTCAATCAGGTTATGTAAACCCTGTGTGCTATTGTTAACACTATTAGCTATTTAACACCTTGAAGTTGTGCAACTTCCATATTTTATCAAAATGTATTTCAGTTTCCTTAAGTGACATCAACACAATAAGCTAAGGAAACAAGCACCAATTTTTTTCCCAATTGTATATCTTATGGATGCAGGAATTCTCATTTTAATTTTCTGTTTGACCTAACCAAACGTGTGTGTATGTGTGTGTTTAGTGGGCAGCCACATTGCGTTTACTCCATCTTTAAACGTCTGGGGGCGGAGTTGGTGTTGGGTCTTTTCCTGAATGTACGAGCCGAGGATCAGCCTGAGGTTTTCCAGGAAATCATGGAGCTCTGCACAGAACATTGGCACGGTAGATCCACACAGATAAAGCATCATCAACATTTATTGGCACCAGTGTCTTTATATGGGCAACCTGGGCACCTGCCCGGGGTGACGTGCGGGGAGTGAGGTTGGAGGTGTGCATAAGAAGTTAGTTGGTGGGGTAAGAAAAAGGCACATTTTGGCACCTGTGGCAAAGATGTGCAAAATATCTTAAAATAAATTAAGCTTCTATTGCAATAACATAACGTCATGCTTCAAAAATTTGAAAAATCTAACTTCCATTTGAGTATATATGTGATTTTCTTCTTTCTTGGCATTTATAAATATGAGATGGATAATTATTTCTTAAGCAGTCATCAAAATGGGAAAGACAAAACTGCATAAATTCATGCAGATAAAGCAGATGTGTGTTTCAGGCATCTTATCACATTTTTAAAAAATCAAAAGACAATAATAAGTCTCCTCACTTTTCTAAGTGGGTCCTCTTTTCTTTCCTTATTGTTCAGCTTAATGTCATATGTTGCAAGTGAGTGATAAGTTTTGTTTCTTTAGACAATAAAACAAAACTATAAAACCAAACACAAAGCACAAGCAATTTTTTTAAAATCAACCGTGAAAAGATGACATCTATTGTCAGATTTTTTTCCCGAACAGATTATTCTTAAAAGTTAATTTGCAACACAAATGCATTCTTCTCCTCTTTTTACATTAGGTCACTGCTTCATTTTGCCTGCTTTAGACACTGGATATCTTTGTGCTGGCAGGTTTGATCTCGGTTCCAGTAAATGTGAAGGTACCTTTGTGGACATCGGGTTTCGCCAAAGCTCTGGATGCCAGAAGCAAACTGATGGAGATCATCAAAGACAAATTAGAGAATGATACAGAGGGGTGAGGCTGCTCAGGTTACCTGGTACAGGGAGTGAAAAAAGGCCTCTTCTGCTTCTTCTCACTCTTTCTCTAGCTTTCTTCTGTAATTTCTTGTCCATTTAGAGATATTCAGCAAAAACTAATATTCCAAAATTTTGAGCATGTTTGTTCGATTAATTGGCATCTTACAATTTATGCACCCAAAATATCAAAATGCAAGAATTGGAGCCTAATTGAGGCCTCTGTTGTCTCCCACCAAAAATAAAACAAAATATTTTTTGTAACTATCATGATCACCACTTCTTTAAACTTATTGTGTCTTCACTGTAAAAACAGTTTTGTCGGCGCTTTGGGTTCCCTGCCATTTCCCAACTCTGGTTCTGCTGCTCAACATCTCCTCCTATTCATCTCGGCACTCATTCCCAAAGCTCTGGCATCGCTGCTCACCTCCTTCACTCTGGCTCTTGGAGGACCTGAACAGGTATGCAAAGACAGGCAGTTAAAACAAAAGAGGAATGCAAGTATCCTGTTAGCCAGAAAGATGAAAAAGAATCAGTGATTCCTGTAAATGTTTGTTGTTAAACCTTCCAGATGTTAGCAGCTTAAAACATGTGATGTTAATACACATGTTCCATCTGAAAGTAAAAAGCAGTTATGCTTCACAACTCAGAGGGAAAGTCGTCAAGAAGCCATCCGTAACCCTGACCACCTTCACAGAGTTCTCCTGGAGGTACAGAGACTGTGGCCGCCCTTCATTGGTGGACGCAGAATAGCTGAAAAGGTGAGCTGCATAAGTTCACGTGGTAAGCTTTGCATCTAAACTTAGAGCTTTTGTGCAGCTCTTTCTTCCACCAGATGGCGCCAGGTGACAAGAGAGAAAACGACTCGTCGTTTCTAATGTGGCCTACATGCTGCTTAGCGTTGAGCAGAACGCTCTGCTTTAAAATATCGGGGCTAGGACCGCTAGATGCAGCGACTTGGAGTTTGAGGAGTTCTGAGAGTCATCTGGCATTGGGAATCTGGGTCAGCAAAGTGGGGCGTTGTTGAATTTCCCACTTAAAGTGTAGAGAAACGGCAAAAAATGTACAAGTTATGGAAAGATTTCTGCTTTTGAGATGTCACATAGGACTTCAGTAGGATTATAAACACCAGTTTCTTATTTTCTAAAACTCAATAAATGTACCTATTTAATCTGACTTGTCACTTTTTAGCTCAATTTTGAAAGTACGTTAATGTGCACAGCGCAAGTACACTCTTCCCAGCCTCTTCCCGCTACAGCTCTCCATGATCGTTATGACCTCATCAAACCGTGTTACGCAACAGTCCGATGGGAGGCATTGATCTGTCTCTGTGATTGATTGGCCGACCCGGAAGGAAGCAAGCGGGGAGGTCAGGGTCTCCGGTGGGGCAGATGTGTGCCAGTGACGCTGTGAAGTGGAAAGTTTTGATTCTTTTAGGTTGTGTAGCAGAACATTCTGATCCTGGTGGCCTTGGTGGGGTTTATGATGCGTGGAAGTCTTAGATAATATTAGAAGGAAGTGACATATTTAGGGAGATATATTTGCTGTTATCAGGGGAGAGTCTCTGGTATGTCTGGTTGAATTTTAAAATTCTATTTTTGATACAAAGGGGATCTTGGAGCTCTTTATGATACATGGGTGTTTAAAACAGAAGTGGTTGCACTTCATGCTAATGAATAGCATCACCTGACTGGTACTTTCCCATATGGGAGTAAAAAAGTTTAGCTTTCTGTTTTTTTACTCACAGCCTTCCATCCTGCCCAAGTTTTTATTTAATAAATGGGTAAAGTATAAAATCAGTGTCACAACACACAGGTCATTTTTTTTTTTTTATGTCTTCTTAGTTTAGCAAAAGCATAAAAATAGACTTAATCTTTCCTCAACTATTTTCCATTTTACAAGATTAAAAATAAAAATCTATATTCTATATGTATAAAATAAAAATACATAGCAACTTTGAGCATAGATAATGAGTTTGTTCTAAAAATGATGTGGCAGGATGTTTATGCTTGTGGAAAAGTGTGCTGGAACTCATTGATATTCGCAGTCAGGTGGAAAAAAAAAACTGGGGACTTCATCAGGTGGAACTAAAATATGCAGTATTTTATGTTAAACTGCCTAATTGGGTTAGTCAGGGAGGACAAAGGTATCTTGAACTAGATGTGCTTCCACACACCTGTAGTAAGATGGTTTGGGAAACTCCATTTATGATGAACTTTACATTTATGCTTTGAAAACGAGTTACTGCTGAGCAAATTTGCGTCCAGAAGTAAAAGTCGTCAAACCTAAAATGTAAGAAGAAAGAAAAACATAAAGCCCTTTTAAAATTTCTAATTGTTCCATTAAACACTGATCTTCTATAGAGACACAAGGAAAGATCTCCATTCAATATTTTAAAAGCTTGCATGTTTCCAGGAATCCACCCTCGCAGACTTCTGTGTTCCTAAAGATTATGGCGCAGTGTATGTCAGCTACTTCATCCACCGTGACCCAGAGGTGTTCCAGCAGCCCGACAGCTTCCTGCCAGAAAGATGGAGTGGGAGGTACGGTCTGTAGTTCTCCTAGTTTGACTTTCACCGTAGTAGATTTAGACCACTTTGCATATCCAACAACAGGGTTGGCATGGGAGACGTTCAGTTGCTTTGTTTATACATCAGAGCTGAATACCTCTAATCTGATGCAATTTGAGGACACTTTGAATTTAAAACCAGATTTGACGAGTGCATCGCACACATGGTGTTAAGATACGTATTTTCAAGGCGCATTTTCTTTTTATTATAAGCTTTGAAATCTTAGAGGAAATCTTAATCAAGCACATCATTTTTTTTTCAGCATGTAATAATAAAATTAATTAGCATAATCATTTGGTCTTTAATGATTTATTAAAGGGAATAAATTAGTTGTGAATGTTTTCTTAAGTGAAAACAGTTTAAAAATAAACATAATTATGACTGCTTCTTTGACATTTAATTATTAAATTGCATTTAAATTAGTTGGTTTACAGACTTGGATTGTAAATATATTCCATGATTTTCAGTGGAGTTGAAGATTGGGCTTTGGGAAAGTCATTTCAGAATGCGGTAACACTTTATTTGAAGGGGGCTGAATAAGACTGACATGATACTGTCATAAACATGACATAACACCTGTCATGAACATGAATAAGCCTTCATGAATATTTATGACTGTTGTCATAAAGCGTCATTTGGTAAATTATGACACTTTTAATACAAAGTTGACATTATTCAAAATGTCTTTGTTATGACAACTTGACATTAACCAAGAAATCATTACTGTTTAAACTTTACCTTTAATAACATAAAGTTACCTGATTTTTAAAGTGCAATCAGTAATTCTTTTATAACAAATTTATGTTTATCCTCTCTAAAAACAGTTTTCCTGTGCATTCAGAATCGTTGGCCTGAATGCAATGATGCTGAAGCACTATGATATCACACTTTCAATTGTCAAGTTGTTGATTTGTGAAGAATGAGAAGCTAGTCCTTGTCCTTCGTTATTTCATCAATTTTGTACAACGGCATCGTGTTTGACAGGTGACACAGTGTTCTTAGGTTTACTTCCAGAATAGTTATACCAGTATATGAGTATTTACTGTGAATGATTTGGATTTTACCACAACAGGTGAAGTTTATACATTCACCTATGTTCAAGAACCATACAGGGCATTACCTATTGCACCATCACTCTAAGTTTGATTCATGTGCTAATCTGCTGTGGCTTAATGTCGTAACAAACACTTCCTCACATATACTGACCATTAGAGCAGAAAGAGACAGGAAGCTTTCCGTTATTGTAACACATTAAGGATGTTGAGGAAATGTGTCATAAAGAGCCTTTTTTCATTAAAACGGCAATAGAATAAAAGGTTGCATTTTCGTCTAGGTATTCTTTCAGCACATGGTCTTTTTTTTTTTTTTTCACGGTCTGGAAAACATTTACAAAGGAAAGGAAATTAAAGAATTATTTCTTTCAGCAGCAAGGTTTTTTATTGTTGTCATTGTTGTAGTCAAGGGCATCACTTTTGGTTGGAAAAACTGAATAAGCTGAGAAATTGCAATTCAGTACTTGAAAGACTAACTGAAGGTCAGATGGTTTGAGGAAACAATTATGATCTGAAAAGGCGAACATTTGTCAAAAACACCCCAAACATTACTGTGGAGGTCTTCTTTAAACATTATATTATATTATAAATATTATACTATAGTATTTATACTCTGCATCCATTATCTTTAAAGTATTGAGAAGAACTGAGTAGTGTAAAAATGTGAGCCTAAAAAAAATGTTTGTAACTTCTCTGGACAAATAAAACCTCATCTGGGGCCATTCACCTGTTTCCTCTCCCTGTCGACCCTTTTCTGTTTTCATTCACCTCCTCAGTTCACATGTTTGTTCTCATTCATGCTTATTAATGCCTTGGTAATGTATGCATCCATTGCCATGGAAACTATTCACCTACCTTTGTCTTTAAGCATTCTGTGCATACCTAAATATACACTGTTGGGTATCCAAAAGAGAAGAATATCAATATTCAGGTTGTAATCTGTACTAAAACTATCTGACTAGAAGCTCATTAGTTGCAGCACTGATTCTGGCAAAGCCATTTTCACCTCCGCTTGTTGACTTGGAGCTTTTCACAGCAGTGCTGCGGAGCTGCAAACACACAGTCTCCCCCCTCAGCAGTTCAACACTGGAACATTTGCTGTCATTCACAATACTGACACGGTTTGCGTTGATGGCGTAATAACGACTCTTACTGATACTTTGTTCAAAGCCAAAGAAACGCTTCATACATATTATCATTGTTTGACTTTAAAATAATGTGAATTAGTTGACACCTTTTGGGAAGGATGAATTAGTAAATGCTGATTGCGGAAAAAGTTACTAAAGGTACTAATGGAACCAACGTGTGCCCATCTGAAAATGGCTGCTGAAATTGATTCTCATCAGACCTGAAGACTTGTTTTCAAACTATTATTTTTGCTCAGCCTCTGTGAATTGCAGCCTCTTTCCTGTGTTATTTTTCCATTTTTTAGACAATTTCCTGTAAAGCCAGTTTTTTTTTTTTTATGTGTGAGCATTCTGCCACTCAGAGAAACCCGTCAGGTTCCAACAACAAGGCCACATTTCTTCCCCATTTTGATGCTCGTTCTGATGCTGGGATGGGATTGGACAATTTGCTATGTGTGTTGACAATCATCTGAACAGGTGTTTATCATGAAGTGACCGGAGAGGGTTCACTTGCAACAGCAGGATTTTTGTGGGAAAAGATTTAGGTTTTCAGACAAAACCTTGATGCTTTATTACATTTTGTCAATTTCAGCAGAAAGCATTGGACAGGGAGAAATAGACAGGTACAAAAAATAAAAAAATAAGTAGTTCAAAGATATCTTACACCTGCTTGATCAATGTAGTTCTTGATAATATGCTTAACTAGTTGTATTGAATTCAGTTTTAAATGAATGAATAATTCAACTTAATTTGAATTATTATGGTCATTTCTAGAATGTACTGTATTTTGACAATTTAACTAAGAAAAGAAACATCTATATGAGCAGACAGGAAGCTGCTGCCTTAGTAACTGTCCCCCTGCCCCCACACCTATTTTTACCAACAGGGATTCCCTTAGTGCATCGTGCAGATTGGGGCAGGGTTAAAGAATGAGTCAGAGGAGATTTTCCTTGCAGCAGTGACGTAAAAGGTGCAAAAAAATAAAGCTATAAAAAAAAAACAGATAAAAAAACGGGGTATGAATCTATGTGGACTGATTAAATACCTGGGGTTTGACAAAAGATGGAGTATTATACTGTCTTTATCATCTATATATGTCATTACAACTAATTTGTAAATTAGTTTCTCTTCTGTCTAAAAATGCATTCAATAGTTGAATGATTCCCAGCTTTGGGCCTTAAGACATTAGTCAGTGTGTTTGGCACATGCAACAAATGCAAGCAAATCTTTTTTCATCAAACATTGTTGGTACAGAGTTGCCCTTTTACAGGCGTATTTATGCAGTAGAATATTTAAATAATGTATGTGTGAGTTTCTGTAAACCATAGATTGATGAATAGTTGCTCAAAAAAAGCATTTCATGCTAACACATGTATCTTAATCACACTTTACAATAAAAAACACACTAAGGTGTAAAAAGGTTGAGCAGCAAGGTGGATGAAAACATTGGCAACCTGCCGCTAGCTATGCTGCTATTGCTAGCTTGTACATAAATAGGAACAGTTGACTTGACTTTTGTCGTTTTTCATCTCTAATTGTGCAACATTTTTCTTAGCATTTTCATTACCAAAATGTTGTGTCCTGCACTAATGACGTAATTTAAAAACCATTATTATTGAAACTCAACCATATCAGTTATATATATGCAAGATGTAAAATGTTGGTAAATATCACAATGAACGTGTTACATGCACTAAATAAACACATACTTTACAACACAGTTTAATTTTTTTTTTTCCAATTTGCCTTAATTGTGACCATTGTTTCCAGATATTGGGGCTTCCATGCAGATACTGGAAAAGCATCTCAGCCACATGATTTTATTAAAAAACTTTAATCTTGCATTTTCCTGCCTTCATTGATATTTGGTGACTTTCCCTACATTACGCTATTTAGAACTTTTTGTCTTTTGCAGAAACTAGTAGGGCTGAAAAAAATGGAGGTTAACAATTAAAGATTAATTTCCTCTTTGCTACTGAGTTTCTGCAACAAGATTCATAAATATTGCTGACCGTGTGTCTGCTTGTGCCTTTTGCTGTTTTTTTCTCTTAGGTTTCCTTCATCGTCCAGTCTGTTTCCCCTTTCTTCTATCTGCCTCTCACCCTGCTTCTCCATCTGTCAGCTTATCCGGAAACTGCTTTACTGTCTGCCGTGATAGTTTCCAGCCTTATTTTCAAGCCACCTGGCTCTTTAATTTAATGACTGCAGTCCTGTTATATAACAAGCCCACCTACAATCATCACAGTTTCATCTGGTCTTGTTTTTTTTGTGTGTGTTTCTTTTGGACCTAGTCCCACTGTATATTGTTATGGTGTACATTTATGCATTCATGTGTCTTTGCTCTTTCGGAAGGAAGTGAACAGGCAAGCTAACATCCCATTAGCCAAACGCCCACACATGCGCCGACCCCAAATAATCGGAAATGTTACCAAGTCAGATAGGAATCTCAGCGACTGCAGCAGATATTTTAGAGGAATTTGAGATCAGGAACATTTCTTCTTGTCTGTGGAAACATTTGTTAGTATTTATAGCTTATCTGGCTTTTGCATTAAACTCAACCCGTGGATTATTTCAGAAGATGTTTTTCTTAAGGGTTGTAATGTAAATCTAAGTCTTTTTATTGTTGATGTAGCCTTTTAAAACACAGAAGTGCTAAGGGAAATGTCATTATTTTTGCACTGATCAGAACGTGCAAATGCCAATGCAATGTGCAAATAAAAAAAAAATGTGTTTGGTGGTCTGAAATGTTTAGGTGTGACAAAACATTTCAAGCAAAACAGATCCATCAGGGAGCAAACATAATCATATGTAGAAATAATTTAAGAAAAGAGTTGTTCACCTGTTGTAAAATGTACCCCCTTTTTCTTGGAACGTCATAAAATTCAGTAACTGGTGTTTCAACTGCTCTCTCAACTCTGTGCAAAGATCCAGTAACTTGATTCAAACTGTGAGATGCAGCAGCCAGCACACTCTGTTTTCATGCAAACATGATTAAAAGGTTATTAGGGAAAACCCAGATTTGTTCCATCAACAAAACAATTGGTATAATAAATAATTTTAAAAACAAAACGTGGATACCTCATCCACACAACAAACACTATGGGTTGAGCGGACATAAAATCAAAGTCAGTTGACTGTCAACAAGTATTGAGTTGAGTTTATTAATGGACTTCTAAGTGAATTATTTAAAAAAGCCTTGACTGGGAACCCATATTTGGAATGTGATCACAGCTTCCCTAATCTAAATGCATTTTTCATGAACTGCTTTCTTTTCTAACAATTTATATCTAATATATCTATTACCAATACGACATGATGTTCGTACATTTGGTGTCTGGGTCATGGAGTCCTGGACTTCTCGCTCATTGTACTTTTATGCAGTAAAATGAATTATATTGTCCACCATATTACACTCAAGATTGGACTCATTTTCCTTCCATTCATCATATTTGACATGTTCTTTTGCCGTAGCGCGTCTTCTCTCTCCGGCTCTCAGCATTACAGGACTCCGCTGTACGGCAATCGTTTTAATGTTCTAGGATGTTCCCTAATAGTACATTAAATTGTTAGAAATATAGCAGCGAGAACACTAATAATCTCTCCGCTCACACACACACCAACCATCTGGCAAACTGCTTCCAGACTCCGCACATCTCTAATGCTTCCTGTTTGCCTTTAATCAGAGCTCAGGTTTCAGGAAGACAGGATACATTAGACACAGGAGATGGCCTGAATGGACAGGTTATTGACTAGAGGATGGAAACTACCAGCATGTATTTCTCTTCTGGACATTTCCAGGTTCGACAGAGGGAGACAGACAAATAACTTTGGACAATTAATGTCTATTTTCAGATTTATTTATTTATTTATTTTTGGCACATTCTGTAACTCACCTAGCCGTTTTCTACTGGCTTTTATTAGTTAGAGAAAAACTTCCCTGAATATCTGTGAAAACTGAAATAGAAAATTCTAGAATACTCAACATTTTCTTTGAACTTTCTTGTATTCTCTGGTTTTCTTCAGGAATGCAGGCCAGGAGCATTTGCTGTGTTCTTTTGGCCGTGGGCCCAGAAGCTGCATTGGTTCGACCCTTACTGAGATCTTTATTAAGGTGAGCTCAAAACCTTCAGCCACATCCTTAGTTTTAATATGACTGCTTTTCATTAAAGGTCCTATTAAAGTTGTCTTGTGTAGTTCTTGATGAGTGATAAACCTATTTGTAAAAAAAAAAAAGTACAAACAACAACAAAAACAAGAAAATAGGTAGAACAAAGAAGTGAGAAGTTATAAAACTGAAAAATATGCAATTTAATTCATTTAGAAATTTTTTATTGCTTTTTTGTTCGTTAAAACATCTATATGAGCAGACAGGTAGCTGATCCTGGATCTTTGCACATTGGTAAACATTAGATGTTTACTAATGTGTCTTACTAATTTGTTTTGCTATTCTAACTAGCTCACCAACACAGATGATGAGGTTCCATGTCTTAAAGGTGGTTTATCGTGTGTTTCTCATTTCATTACATTGGGACACACAAAAAGGGTTTCTAGGTACACAAACCAACAAAAATAAACATCACAGTAGCTTGAATTTGAATTGGACCAATAGGAGTAGCTTATTCTATTCTGTGTATATTTAGGTTTTACCCCATTTAATTGAAGAAATTATATTTAAGTTTTTGTGCAGCTAATAATGTGTTGGTATTTTTGTAATTCCCTCGTTAGACATTTTGTCTAACGAGGGAATTACAAAAATGCACATATTAAGACGGAACCTCCCTGTTGTCAGGAAGGTTCTGTGCAACATTAAAACCTCCACCAGTCATCCTGTAAACGGATCAATGGTCATGGGAATACCTGGCTGCTTGTTCGATTTACCTAAAGAACGCAGAGCCGTAACCACGGCAGCCCAGCCGCCAAAGCAGCACTCACCATAGCCACAAAGCTCACACGTACAGTACACGCACGCAGTCAGGCTGGGGAGCGTTCAGGAGCAGGAATTGTATGCGACGTTTATTTTCTTAGACAAGTCATCTCTTCTGCTGTATTGCTGTTTTAATCCGTTGTTTATTCATACGATCAACCAGTTTTGCAATGAGTGAGTGAAAGTAACCGCAACAAACACACAAAGACAATAACTTCTAGCACATCAGTCCTTCTTTACTGCAATCTGTATAGGATTAACTAGAAAATTAAATTCATACAGCTTGACTTGTGCTTATGACTAAACTAAAATGTTTTGCAGGTGCTGAAATGCACATCTAATGTATATAATTTTTAACTAATACAATTAAAGCGTGTTATTTAACGTGCATAGGTAGATTATATTTACCTTGACAGCACTGACATGTCCTACATTAAAAAATGCAACTCGCTGGTGGGTGGTATCTCAAGCTGTCTGAAATGCAGCTCCAAGAAGTGACTCAACACACCTACACCCTGCACACACATATATATCACATATGAGTCAATCAAGCCGGATATAGGGATGTCCACATAGAGAATTTTTCCCCCCCAAAATCAGTTTTAGTCTTTGAGTCGAGATAAAACTTCTGGTAAAAAAAACTCATGCTTTATTGCTTTCTTTTACAACAGTAAACAGTAAACTCAAGCTTCTCATCTATTGGCTGGCTTAAGATGATGATATCATTACCAGAGATTTCTTCTCACTGAACAGAAATCAAACAAATGTTAGCCATTTGTCATTTCATTTCTGTTTGGTAATTTGTTAGTTTTCCTTATTCTTCATGAAGCATAAATCAGAGGAAAAGGTGTATGTTAAAGTAATGTCTGTTTCACCTGCCATTTATCCATTTATTTCTTGAAACTGGTCCCAGGTTGACAGAAAAACCTGAACACCTTTATAAGTTTATAATATGTGTATTCTTGTACATTTGGATCAAATGATGAAGAACAAAAAGAACAACAACAAAACATTGTTATTGAAATGTATTTATTTTCCTTTTATAGGACTTACTTAATTTACAAATTATTAAAATTATTGAATTAATTTGTACATTAATTGCACAAATTAACTTATGCAATTTAAACACACCTTTTTTGTTAGTTTTTTTTTTAGATGTATATAATTTTTGCTTTCACAAACATGCGATTTCCTCTGAAGTCATACGGTTTTTTTCAGATTTGGAAAAATATTTGGACAGCTTGGAAGTATATAATTTAATTTTAAACACTATTTAAGCAACAAGCACGTATGCCAATCCTGAAACCCTAAACACATTTATGTGAATGAATAATATTTTTAGTTGGAGCAGGATAACCTGCTTTCTGAACATTTTTGTCCCCATTAAGAAAATTGGGTCTGAACTCATAAGTTTTCACAGACAAGCTTATAATCCCAAAAGGGGACTAAAAGTAGTTGTTTCAATAATCAAAATTGCTACATTTATTGACACTTTGCTGGAAATAATATGAAAAATGTTCCTTTAGCAGAAGTTAGAGAGACCTTTGACCTTTTCTGTTTAAACAGTCTCTGTTGATCCTTTGGAGCTCTCTCCTTTGTCTCCTCATGCGTTCTGACTTCACAGGTTTTCTATACGGTTTAGATCTGGTTACCTTTCCATGTTGACTTTTTTCATAGAAATTGCCTTCATATTCATGGTGCCATGCACAGGCACCGATCCTCCACCGTATCCGACAGAGGACATGTATTGCTTTTTCACATCATTCATTTTTTTGTTTCATGCCAAACCTTCCTGCAATGTTTGTGATCTGACCAAATAGTTTCTATTAAAGATCTGTAACAAGCAAGACAAGTTCACAGTGAAGTAAATAAATATTCTACCCCCAGTTCTGCAGTAAAAGAATGACTAATTTTAAGACTGTTTACAGATCTGTTACAGTGGAGCCAATAACTGTGGAGGTTCTGCTGCAGGCAACACCCAGAAACTTATTCAGTTTAGCTCAAGAGAAAAGCAACAATTTTGTTTTATTAAGAATGCAGATCCAACTGGTAATCCGTTGCATTTGACCGGTTTTTAACAGGATGACCATTTTCTGCTCACACACTGAGGAGGATATAATCAGAGTAACAAGGAGTCTGTGGGGATCTAGGTCAGAGATGTGACTCATCGCTCTTTTTCCTTCATCCTTCCCCCCTGCGTTCCTCCTGCCCCCCCTCCCCGCCCTCAGCATCTTTCCTCGGCTCCCTCATCGCTTTCCTCCCCATTCATTCATCCTGCTCCTCCCCCAACATCAGGAAAATCCTCATTCATAAAGTGAAGGGTAGGGGAGACGCGATTGGTTGGCTCAGCAGCCGCAGGATAAGCCAATGAGAAATGCTGGGAATGACATCAGGATCTTAAGAGGAGGCTTGAAAACTAAAGTAGATGTGGAAATATTGGTCTGAATTCAAATGTGAGACTTGTTGCTACCTTCTCAGTCCAAAACAGTTGACGTCGTGTTAAAGCGTGGCAGCTAAAAGGGGCCGCTTTGCTATTTCAGACTTGGAATCAAAGTATTGTGGGGGCTGTTGTTTTGCACGTCGAAAACCTAAAAAGCTTTGGCTCGGTTAAACACTTTGTTTTCGCTCAGCAGTAAACACACACTGAAAATAGAAAACACTCTCCGCTTTTATATTTCAGGAAGCTTCCAGATACCTGCTAAAGAACTACGACTGGTGTTTGGATCCTCCGTCGCAGGACCTTCAATACAAATGGCTGCCTGTGTCCCGCCCCGCCAACCTTCCCACTGTGTCCTTCACCCGGTTGGATCAAAACGTATCAGAATGAGATTACGCCGGGGACACGTAGCCTCCGGCTGTGTTTTATTGAACAAACATGTGTGCCTTGCATGCTGGGGGAATGTCTGGAGATGTGAAGGAGGGATGCCGGCAAACTGCGAGGCTTTCCCCCTCCTGTGCATAACCTTGTAATCGTGCCAGGGAAAGCTGAGGGGGGCGCTGGTTGTGCTTTATCTGTTCCTCTGCCAGATATTCTGCAGTGTTCCTTGATTGCTCTGCAAGCGAAGGCAGGACAGATGAGTCATTCTTCTATTGTGGAATCTGAAACAGACTCAGAAATGTTTTATATATATATATATATATATATATATATATATATATATATATTTATTTATTTATTTTTTAAACTACGAATTCATTCACATGCAAGTCTTGTTTTTAAAAACTGCAATCTGTCTCGATTGCAGTTCGGTTTGGGATAAGCCTTGATGTTTCTGAGTGGAGGTGTGCGTGTCTGAAACAGAAACTCTGCAGCATTAGTATTCATGGCGCTTCATTCCAGAGGATTGCACGTCATGTGTCACACGGGAACATGGGTAAACCCTCAGATTCCATCACTGCCTGCAAACCTGAACCCACTTCTTACCCCCCTCACCCCACCTAGCAACAACCACTGCTTAGCAACAGTTCGTCATACAGATCCTGTCTTGCCTCCTTTTAGTATGCATGTCTCACACAAATACACACACGCACACTATTCTTGCTTATATTTTGAGTTGTATACATCTTGCCTGAAAAAAATAAAAGAACATACTGTTTAGGCATTTCTTCTTTTCTTTTTTCTTTTTTTTTCTTTTTTTTTTTTTTGCACTTAATTGTTGCAGATCAGACTAAATTTAATAACAAATAACTTGGGTGAATAGAAAATTTAGCTCCTTAATGATTATTTTATTTATCAAATGGGGAAAAAAAAAAGCTATCTGAACTAACTCAACTCTATAGGAAGCATTTTTTTATCCCCTAACCCTTGGCTGTACAACACTTATCAAAAATTGATGTTTTTTTTTTTATATATTGCTTTGAAAAGATTTTGGCCCATTCTTTTATGCACAGTTGTTTTATTTCAGCCATATTTAAACGTTTTTGAGCTTCAGCAACCCACTTAAAGATGTTTCACATAATCTTATTTAGATTTGTCTTCAATCAGATGTTTGAGTATACCACTCTTTTGTCTTTTGTGAGTCTAGACTTAAGGTTAAGGCAGTCCAGTGATAAATAAATATTTGGTTTTGAGGTTTTTCTGGTAGAGAGCAGAATTCCTGTTTTCATTAGAGTTGATTTTCACAGCTATTCGACATAAAATGTGACCACAACTCCCTTTGATTTGCAGAAATCTGCAATTGTTAAAAATTTCCACAGTATGTCAGAAAAGCATGCAGGTTTTCATAGACTGTCCTAAATTTTGCATGAGTAAGAAGTACAATCTAGAAAAATACTAATACCATAAGTTTGATATTCCTTAAGCTATTAGATTACATGTTATTTTACAATGAAGAGCTGTAAAATAACGGTACGTTCACGTTGATCTCTGTAGGCGGTGTGATCCCTTATCGATCTCAGGAACATTTAATTTGTCACGCGATCCACCACACAACAGACCCCCTGTTCTCTCTACACCACACACACTCCACCATAAAAGACTGCATCCATGCCTGCCCTGCTCGCATCTCTGAGTTGTCAGTGTGTCTCTGTTTCTCGTGTGCACACACTCGCGGACATACATCACATAGGATCTGGCAGAAAATGGGGTTCTTGTGAACGAGGCTGGTATGACTCATTGTTCCTCCTGCACTTGGCTGTCAGCTAAAGCTTCTGTTAGCAACTGTTTGGGACAGGCAAAATGACTCATGGTGAGTCTTATGCATAGGAGCACATGGCTCTGTTTTATTTGGTTATATCCTTTTTTTTTTATTTCGCTTTTTTGCTTTCTGCAGAGAAGGAATAAGAAGAATCTGTACTCGGTAATGGCTGCAAATCATTTTTATTATTCTTGAGCCTTTTCACATAATTACACAGGAATTTAGTTGACTTGGAATGTGCATGCCAGACCACCTCTTCACATATTCAGCTGCATTTGTAAATGAGTTGCCTGTGCGGTCTTAACAATATCCTTGTGAATTTCGCATTGAGTGCATTTTAGGAATGTGCTGAGCAGAAGTGTGTGCAGACTACAATGAAATGCAACTCATTGAGAAGTACGCTAAAGCCTTAGCATTCATTATGTAGATGGGGATCCTGTAATACAATGCACTGTGTGCGTCATTCGTGTGTAAGTAGTGTGTAGGAGGTTACAGCAGGAAAAAATGCATTAGGCTAAATGTGCAGAGGTAAAAACTAAGGGCTCATTGTTTTTCAGCAGCATGATTATTTATAAAATCCCACATCTCTAATTAAATGTCGGAAAAGAAGCTGAAAAAATAAGCAGAATAATGCACCAGGGGTCATTTTCTGTCCTTTATCTTTGAGAAAAACAAGAGTTTGTCAGTCAGTCTCGCACACAGGAGGACGAACGCTGGATCCAGATGGCAGAACAAAGCCTGAGGTCGGGTTTAATGAGCAAAGTTAATTACCACATGACCGCTCTGTCGGTCCACTCGCAGTGGACTGATAGGCCGTTATGGTGTGTACAACAGGAAGCGAAGGAAGTGCACCCTACCCCCTGCAAGTGCGACACACGTTTGGACAGAAAAACAGCAGGTTTACCTGTTCAGCTAACAAACTCCAACATGCAGCCAAGGTAAACGAGGCCCTCAAAACAGACGGAGTATTCACAACAGGAGGTGCAGCAGAGAGATGCGCCTTCCCTGTGTCAATTGATGCATATTTCTGTACAATTACAGATGCAGAAATATGCTGTCATGTTATCTAAGCTGTGTTGAGCTTAAATAACATAAAGAAATCCAGACACTTTAATCTTTACAACTTACAGAGGCATTTTACTCTTACAAAGGTCAAAACTCATTTAAATATCACGACTTTCTGAAGAAGAGATATTTTTAGATGAAGTGTACTCTCGCAAAATTTTTTGTAATATTTAAAGAGCCAGCCTTTTATTTCTATTATCAAGGAAAATAAATCTGTCGCAATAAGCATTATAAATTAAAATTAGCTCAGTAATTCCCTTTCTGATCTATAATATTTTTTGAAGAGCAATTGTGTTTATAGATTTCTAATTAATTTATGGTTTCAGTTCCAAGTAGCCGTTTTTGGTTTTATTTTGGATATTTAAACTCTCTCCCAGGCCCAGAGCGAAGTACTCTTTACAAAATGAAAGTTTATTAGTCTCTGAGAAGGCAAACTTGCATCATATTTTCAAGCCATTATGAAAATATGACCAGTAAACTGGTAACAGTTGGTGTTCATCAATAACTGGTGAAATGTATCATCTCTAAAAATGTGTTACTGTGACAGGCCTAGTTTAAAATAAAGCTAAAAAATAAGAGGATAATTTTTTTTAATCACATAGATATTGCAGGAAAAGAAATTAAAAATGGTTAAAACCGGGATTTATTATTATATCTGTACTTAAAAATGCGAACTAGTTCCTTTTAAATTTTAGCCAAAGGTAATAAGTGTCATTAGGTCCAAAGAGTCGCATGTGGAGTCGCAGGTTGGGAACCTCTGATCTGCCTAAAAAAGAAAAAAAATAATTCTTCCAATTTCAATAAGCACAATATGTTTTGATAAATTCAATAAATTAAACTGATTTTGAAAAAAAAGGTTTGAAAAGATTGTTTCCAGTATAAATTGTGATCAAAAACTAATTTATACTGAAAGCAATAAAATAAGTAAAACATAAATAGGGGTGAGTACTTTATATAGTTTACCAGTTACTGCAGTGAGACAAGTCACAACATAAACAGCTGTTTTTCTTACTTATGTGACCTACTAACAAAGAAAAGTCCCCCTGTGTATGCAATGAATTCATAAAAAAAAAACCCTCAAAGGCCACAAAAATACTACTTTGCTCCTTATTTAATGTTAGTCTGTGCTCAGACAGGCAGCAAAGGAAACCATTAGTCACAGAGGTGCCATCAAGCTCTGTTTAATTGTCTCATTCATCTTCCCTGAGCTGCTGAGTCCTGCCTGCGCAGCTGCCCAGATCCACCGGGAACCCCTCAGGAGCACTCCACCAAAAAACAAGTCTACTATCACTTACGGCAGCAAGTGGTTCCATAATCTCTCTC